ATGAAAAAGCCCTTTGGAAAACTGGCCAGATACCCATCAGTAACCTTTCCTGATCTGTGGTAAGTGATGAAGGTCGCTTGCCGATGGGTCTGGGAATGGAGAAACCCTTCCTGATCTGTGGTAAATAACGAATGTCGCTTGCTGAGGGGTCCGGGAATGGAAATGTACTCGAGGACCTCAAGAGAAGAGGAATTTACCCAATGCATACAGGTATCTAATGGCACAGATAAAACGTGGGCTCGTGAAAGGTTTTTGAGAAGTCCAGCCTGAAAATTCCTTATAAAAGTTCCCAGCAAAAACCCCCTGACTTAAGGCCTACATGGGAGCAGAGGTTTGCACACAAATTCCTGTATGCCCAAGAAGTTTCTTTATGCCTTGTTTAAAGATCCAAAGTAACAGCCTCCAAACGGCAAGGCCAGCAAGGGCAGGTATTCAATCTACCTTCTTCCTCCATAGCCTCAGGCTTCATCAGACAAGAACAAAGAAGTAATGGCTAACAACATGTTCTCCATTAAGATTGAGTTATGTTGAAAGGGTTATGTTGTCAGATGATTTGAATTGATAAGCTGATGCTCTATGAGGTACATCAGTTAATAGCAAAAGAAAAAAAAAAGAAAGGGTTATGTTAAAAGGTGTCTGTTGAGTGGATTATCAGATGTCACATGATGTTTAATTGGATCAATGAGGTCATTGCTATATGTACAAAATTCCCTATACAAGCCAACTGCAAATAAAGAAGCTCGCCATTCTGCCTGAGCAAGCAGATGGTCACCTTTATTTAAAACACAGTTTCAATAAGTGTGCTTATTCTCCATGACATCGCTTTTCTGTGAGACCCTTATGGCAACAGGCAACATAGTGAAACTCTGTCTCCCCCCTCCCAAACAAATAAATAAATAAATAAAAATAAAACCCAGGGACTGTGTGAGTTAGGGTAGGGGCCTAGGTGATTGGATCCTAGCGGATTCCTGAGGCCTTCACATTTCCCTAAAGCTTTCCCAGCCCAAGCTGTTTGGGATCTGAAGTCCAGAGCAAGAGGGACTAGCCAAGCTGTGGTCCAGCAGCCCCCTATATGCCCTGTTATCTCACCCCAACCACCCATGAAGAAGGTTCCAGAATCTTCTCTAAATAGGTGGGAGGAGTGGGATGGGTGGGGCAGAGGTCCTCTCTCTCTCTCTCTCTCTCTTTTTTTTGGTAGAGACAGAGTCTCACTTTATCACCTCTTCGTAGAGTGCTGTGGCACCACACTGCTGACAGCAACCTCCAACTCCTGGGCTTAGGTGATTCTCTTCCCTCTTCCCTCTTCCTGAGTAGCTGGGACTACAGTCACCTGCCACAATGCCCAACTATTTTTTGGCTGCAGTTCGGCCAGGGCCGGGTTTGAACCTGCCACCCTTGATATATGGGGCCGGTACCTTACCCACTGAGCCACAGGCGCTGCCCAGTCCTCTCTTAAGGCCTTCCTAGCTGGTTCATGCGTGCAGGTCACCTGGAGATCTGGTCAAAATGCAGATTCTTTTTCCTTTTTTTTTTTTTGAGACAGAGCCTTAAGCTGTCCCCCTGGGTAGAGTGCTGTGGCATCACAGCTCACAGCAACCTCCAACTCCTGGGCTCCAGCTAGTCTCCTGCCTCCACCTCCCAAGT